CTGCCCACCTCTTTCCATTTTTGGAAATGCTCCCTTATATACACTTACTTCTATATATGACATAAATAACCAATTAGAAGTTCAGAATGTTCCCCTAGTGTTACTTTTTTCAGCCTTTCTAATGTGGCTAGCACCATTTCTTTCTTTTGAACCAAGATTTCAATGAGGTAGAGTGTCTTTAGTCTGCTCGATATTTCATATTTTTTTAGACAAAATACATCTTAGTTACTAAGCTTGATAAATTATAGTTTAATTTTATGGTATTGATGTAGTTATTTATGATTTTTTAATTATTCAAATATATATATAAAACCTAAAAACAATATTTTGTTTCATATCCTCCACGTGCAAAATTTTAAGCCTTTGCAACCTACATTAAACAGCAACCGAGTACAAAGGTCGTAACTAGAAGAGTTAATTGTTTGCTTTACTTCTTTATTTACTGTTCTGTGTTTTAGGAAGAATAGGTTTAAGAACTTATTTCAAAATAGCAATAATCTATATACATGTATAATGTATAATAATTGAAATGTGACTGTATTTTACAAAACACTAGTCGACTAAAACACAGCTAAGACAAGTTACTTTGTACAGACCAAAAGTCAGTTTTATGGTATTTGATATGGTAACACGAGTGCACGTGAGCCTCGTCATTGTAATTTTTGTATTGTTAGCCAGGCATGGGTGAAAGGTCAATATAATAAAAATAATAAATATATATAAATGGATAATGTTATGAGCTATTTCGTCTAAACATTTATGTTTTTGTGTTATAATTTGTGTTAATTTAGAATGAAAGAGGCATAATTTATGTTTATTTCCTAATTTTTTTATGATGGTTGCAAACTCATTCAAATCTACCAAACCCTTACAGAGATTAATTACTGAAAATAACAGATAAAATATAGTTTTTTCTTAAGAAATGTTTGATAACTATCTGGACATTATAAAGATTTTGCATATGAAATTTCAAAATTTTCTGATGCATTAAAAGTATTTTTAATGTTAAAATGAAAATTACTTTGCATGATAGATAGGCAAAATGTGAAAAGAAAAAAAAAGGCATGAGAGAAACATTGTTTTACAAACCTTAAGACTTAATAAAATTAGATATTTTGTGTATGAGAGCATTGTAATGTTTACTGATAAACTTCCAAATTTCGTTAACATTCACTAACTAATTTAAAAGTTATAGCATGAAAACTATAACAAGCACAAAATGATTACGAGGTTGTCACATTGACCGACTCCGTATTGAAAGAGTTAGTGAGTATGGTAAGTGACATCAAAATATTTTGATGACACAATTCTTTATTTATATAATATTATTTTGATATTTATCATATTCAAACAATATACATAAATAAATTGGCATATTCTGATGATACAAATCTTTATTTATGTAATATTATTTTGATATTTATCGTATTCAAACATGTACATAAATAAATTGTCTGACTATTTAATTATTTTAAATGCAATTGTGACATGTTTTTAATAAAACCGTTTTCAACATTATTTTTCTATTATTTGATTTACACAAGGTCAGTTGGGAATTACAGGGATTGAAATATTACATTCCCAAGGAATTTAACTTTGCTTGAAGAATTTCATCTTTTTAGTTGTCTTTCTTGATTGAGAATGCATGGTCCATCAGTATTCCTTTAGTTATGACCAATGAAAGTGAACATGTTGCATGGGTTAACTAAAAAACAATTCATGAAGAAATGTAACTTTACATGAGGAAAAGTAATCTTCATTATTCCTATCCCTGGATTACTTTGTTTTAAAAACAAACAAAAAATGATGACCATGAAGTCTTGATATTAGAAATTTGCTGAGTAGGAAATGTTCAGGTTATCCTAAAAATAATTGCTGGCAAAAGTTTTGCCAAAATAATTTTTTTAAACTCAAAAATATTTTCTTTGAAAAATGTGCAAATGGTGACCACCAGAAGATTAGTCTCATGAGAGAATAATCAGTTATTTGAATGGTAATTGATTAATGAGCCTGACAATTAAACGGGAAATATCATCCACCTCCAGTGGTAAAAAAGCAACTTCAAACTAAACTGTTTTTGTGAAACAAAGAAATGACTCATTTCAGACAAAAATATGATTTGTCAAAAAATGCAATAGTTGCAAAATTTTTAATGTGAAATTGATTTTGACAAATCTTAAACAGGAGCACTGTTATCCTGTATAAGAGCTGAACAATTCATAACTATGGCTTTCAAATCATTGTGTAAAAATAACTACCTCGTTAGTAACTACAAAAGATGTCCCCTACATTTACTTTCCTATAATTGTAGTTAAGATTCTGGCTGACTGATATCATTAACTTTGCTCTTTAATTCAAACAAATTAAATTCAGTGCACCTCCCTTTGTTGGCAGTTCTTAAGTTCAGGTATTTCTGTACCTAGTAGCAAACACCTTCACGTACAATTTCTGAGTCAGAGTAAAAAGCATATGAACTGTCAAAGGACTTAACTATATTTACTTGGTTTATGTAAAATTTAGCTTAATATTCCTGGGATCGGTCCACTGGGCCAATCCTGTATTCAAGAAGTAAAGTTGACTATAATTCAGAACTTCTGAAATATATCTTCCTGAAACGTGGCAAGCTTTCTCTAAACAGTACAAATATGTTGTACACACAAAATCAGATTTGTCAATAAAGCTTGTGTACTATGGACATGTTTATGAAATTACAAAGTCAATCTGACTCAGATTGAGAAGTGCAAGGTGATGTTCTTGTGAAGAATAAAAATACTTTGTCAATCATACAGTTCACAAATTGTGTTTTCTTAATCTCTACAACCTTATATATGCATATCTAAAGTTTTTACATCATCTCTATATCTTGTATCTGGTATTTTCTCTAAAATGAACTGTCACTGTAGAGTAACATGAAAAGTTGATAACTCTGACATCAAATACATGATACCATATTGAATGGCACTCTATACACCACCTTTGCACATAGGATTAGTGCCACCATATATCAAACATATGAGAAAAAAAAAAGGATAATGCACCAGAAAGTTTCTAATTTGCACAGTTTTTCCATGTTAGCAGCATGGAAAACACAATGTGGTGCCCAGTATTAAACTCAAAATGTTTAAGACTTGCTTTCTCTTTGTCCAATCTCACCTCTGATATCCCAAGGCTTTTTTGTATAATAGATTAATTACTAAACATTTTTCATTGCAATTCTTATATTCAAGATTTCAATTGGTTTCAGTGTTCTAATAGAGGGATAATCAATTTTAGATTTTAAACAACTTAAAGGAAGGCAAGGCTGAAGATGGTAGTATGTTGGAACTCACTGATGCTCAGAGAAAAGGTAAGTTTATTCTAAGTACTAATGACAAAATTTTCTTGTATTATAATTAGAAATGTGCTGATTAATCGATTTAATAATCAACATTTGCTATCCAGAGTGGCTGTTAAAATATGAAAGGTTTTATTTTTATGGTCTAAATTAGTTATAGTTAATGGATTAAACAGAAAATTTAACTACAGTTTACATTTAAAGATTTATTGAAGATTAATTTACACTGACTGAAGAGGAGATTAGGCCTATGACAACTAATATTTATAAAGGCTTAATTATGATAAAGTTGTGCTTTCAATACGATATCTTGATATCTTACCTCCACTCAAAAAATAGCTTTTCTCTACTAGTACTACCCTCTTTTGGCACAAATTTTCAATGCACACCACTAGCCTTCCACCTCCCACTTCTGCATATCCACATGCAAATGATGATGCAGCAGCTGTCCACCAATAGGAGCATGACACTACTCCTATCGTAACCAGTGCCCTCTTCATATCTGCACTAATTAATCATTTCAAGAATGGTCAGAAGACCTACACCATATAAAACTGTCATAAAAGAGCAAAGATTATACTTGGATCAGATGTGGTGTAGTCTCCCGCTGAGGTCTGATGTTTTTGCTTTTGATTCCACACCTCCTGGTCTCTCCTTGGGTGCTTCCTAAAGGCGGATCTTTTTTTTATCAGCCCTCCACCAGTTCAATGTGGGATTCTAGCTATTTTGTGAGTGGGGGTAAGATATCACATATGGAGTTAACATTTTACTGCACTGAAAATGTATTTCTGATAGATACTTACTTTCTGCTCACATTTCCCCCCCCCCCCTCACACACACACACACACACACACTTCTGATGATATATGGTGTAGGTCTTCTGACCAATCTTGAAGTGATTAACGAGTGCAAGTGTGAAGAGGGCACTGGTTAAAATAGGAGTGGTGTCATGCTCCTATTGGTGGAGAGCTGCTGCATGTAGATATGCAGAAGTGGGAGGTGGAAGGCTAGTGGCATGCATTGAAACTTTGTGTCAATAGAGGGCAGTGCTAGTTGAGAAAAGTTATTTTGTGAAAGGAGGTAAGTATCTATTGGAAATACACTTTCAGTGTAATAAAATGCTAACTTCTGCTTTAAAAACAAATTGAAAACAACGAGGAACATGTTAGTCTCCATCTAGGCCATTCCATCCATTATACTAAACTATTTAAAAAAAACTGAAGGTAGATTGTTTCTTTTTATTTACTTCATCTTTACCTTCACACAGTTAACATTATATTTATTCATGTATTCCTTCAATTTTGTTAATTTATTCTAACATTGTAATATTATATTTATTTGAACAACAAATAATTCCCTGAATGAATAAAAAATATTGCAAGAAACATAGTTAGCATATTCATTCACTTCCATGCCAGTTATTTAATCTATGTTGTTGGTAGTGGTGATATTGAAAACAACAGATCCAGTAATGTAACCCCTACACTACAGTATTCATACGTACTTTGTTTGACAAATCTGTAACCCAAATCAAAGAGTAGTGTACAGTTTTCAGACTAACTAAAATGTGCAATCTCACATTGTTTCTTTGCAGACAATAAATGTAACAATGTACAAACACCACCATTATCAAACTTGTATTCTTTCATTCAGTATCAGTGGATTGTCAATCTTTGGTGGGTTAACTAATGTTGATAATGATACCTCCTAATAGCTTTAATTGAAACAGCTGTTTTTAGATAATCGAAATGTGAAAAACAAACAAGAACTTAGATATAAATGAATGAATGAATAAATAAATGTTGAAATAAATATATTTGTATATGAATGAATATGAAAATGTAGCAGTACATACATATATAAATTGTTATTTTAATCAACACTTAGTTATTTATTCCTTTATTAATTGATTTGTTTATTTCTAATTTGGCATAAAATATCCTACAAAATGGAAACTCGACTTTTACTGTCTTGGACCCCCTTTAGAATGCTTAATGACTCGTAGGGTTCCAGGGATCACAAATTGAGAACTATGGCTCAATAGTATGTGTTTTCTAAGGTGTCATTTTTCATGTAATATGCTAACACCAGAAAGACTTCAGATAATATCATGCTAGCACCAGAAAGACTCCAGCCCAACATTGCTTCAAGTGACTTAATTTTTCATGTATCATCATCTTAGCAGCTCCAATTTTTAAGTCTGTATGTAACATCATGTCAGCATTAGTGAATTCCAGGTTTGAGTTAATTTCTCATTCTGTATTAGGTCTTAGATTGACTAACTATTTTAATGATTTCAAAATGGGCATTCAGGTTTGCTGACTTCTCTACTAGGTTGACTGAGTGTGTTATCAGTTAAGTGGATGTAGAAAGCTTCATGTAGCTTTCTGTTCCTTGTTTGTGATTCATATCCATTATTTTAGTAGTATTCTATTTTATTGTATGATCATTGTTTCTGACGTGATGGACTTTTGCAAGTAGTTTGGAATAATCGTTTTTGTATACCTGTTATGCTTCTGAAATCTGACTTCCCCCCCTAGTCTTTTTGTATCTTGTCTCCTTCATCCTATCTGTGATGTATCACTACATTTGGCCTTCTGCATATTAGATCTATAAGTTACACTGAACTTATAAAAATCACCACAGATTACCTCCGTTGAACCAGTTTTTGTGTTGTTGACCAGAATCCAGTTATTGAAAAAGTGGTAGTTTGTTTCTTCAACTCCTCCAAGTGTGCATATTGATATATTAATTAACCATCCAAGATCCAAGAATGCCTTTGACTTCTGACAAGAACTTCATTGAAGAGGAGGAGAGTCGTACAGATCCAAGAGTGAGGACAGAGGACCCCTGATTAACTCATAGACATCCTCTGTTGAACACTGGATACTCTCCTGTAATTCAAAAAATGTTCAAAGACTTCACATTCTGTCCATTCATCAAGACAACTGTAGGGCCCTGTACGTTGATCTTGAATGGATCAGCTGAGCTTGAGGACACAAATGAGAAGCTACAGAGAAGAGGTTGGAGACTGTGACTACATCGAAACTAACTGGGGCAATCTGTATGGTGACACATCCACCATACAGTAGTTTGGTTTATGCTGAATTGCTGCCAGCTTAACAGTAGAAGTATCACAAACCTGCTGTGCAAATGATATTGTATGGAAAGGCACCTTGATCTGTAGAAAACAGAGGAATTATCTGTTATAACTGTGAACAATTTGGTCATTTTTGGCATGAGATGTCCTCTTCCTATGCTTACTTGGGAACCCAAATTCATTTGAAGTAGAATGAATAATGAGCAACAGGCTCAAGGGGGGCAGTATGCTATGAATGTTGTCAGACCCTGTAATCTAAACTAACAAGCCCCAATCTTGCCACTGATTTGGAAGAAAATAACAATCTGTGTGTCCTCAAATGTAGTGGTTAATATAATGTCTACAGAGCTGAGTGTGGCTTAACTCTCTCAATACAGGCTTGGTCAAATTGTCACACCACTCTGTACTCATTTAAAGTCGTTATAGTTTTGGTACTACTAACTTTTAATATAGTATGCATATCTTCACAAAATTTGGCAGACTTTCAGTAAGCATTATAAGTCTTTTCGTATATAAAAAATCATATTTTTAGTGAAGTATTTTTAATATGCTAAAAAAATATTATCCATGAATATATTGAGTTTTTTTTACTAGTCTGAATGCAAAGTGATTTTCATGATAAGGTTAAAAATACTTCATCTCAAAAATCTCAAATTTAATTTGCGTGATCTCTAGAACATCCTAAATACATTTCAAACATTCGTTTTCAGTAATACTTTATATTTTATCTGTTATTTTCTCTACCCTAACATGGTTGGTCAATTTGACTGACCTCGTTACC